AAAATAGCTCAGTGATTTTTTGCTGACTGCCCAAGGTTGTATGGGTGTTGAACAAGGCAGCTGAACTCTGGCAGGCCCTAGGTGGGTCACACCTGAGTCTCACAGCAGGCCCTGTGAAATACTGGGGGTACACATCAGACTTGCAAGAGGCTGGTGGTTCTTTGTGCCAAAATGAATCTGTCTCACCAGGGTGCAGGTCTCTGCCTCATACCAGGGTAAATCCAGAGACTGTCTACACACAGGCACTGGTCTAGGAATGGAAATCACTGGGATCTAATAAAGCACAGCGCTGATCTCTGAGACACTTTCCCTTGGTCCCTTGGTGTCTGCTTCAGATTGGAGGAGCATGACAAAGGTAGTCCCTGGCTTCCCAGATGGACTCCATTTGGGTCCCCCAGTTGCTGAGACCCCTAAAGTTCTAGGGTGCCCTCCCTGCCCATCCCAAGTTGTCAGTGACACACACCCAATTGTCTCATCCATCAAAGCACAGGTGTCCACTTGGTGTGGGGAAAGTCCATGTGCACTGGCTGGGTGGTAGCGCCCTTTGGGCTTTATCTGGTGCCAAGGCTTGGCACGGGGTTCCAAGTTCCCTCTCCTGACCTCTCTGCAAGGCTGGAGTTTCATTTTCTGTGGACAGTTCTGGAAGTTGCCTGGCTCTGGAAGCTCTAAATAGTTACAAGTGAGGGCCTGGAGGCCTGGGCTAGTGGGCTCAGGATGACTGAACTTTTTCACAGTGGGCCTGGTGCTAGGACCAAGGTCACTCTCCCTCTCTCCATGTTGGAGCTGGGGGAGGGGTGACATGGGCAATTCTTTCCTTCTTGCTTTCTTCAATGTGACTTTTTATGATTATAACAAGATAAGGCACTGTGGTATTGTCCCTGGCTTCTGCAGATCTTGGGGACATGAGTTGGTGTGTGTGTGGTATCACACTGGTGTCTCTGCAGGGAAGTGAGTCTCTGGAACTTCTTACTGACCTGCCGTCTTGGCCTCACCCCCATCCTGATTCTTGATCCTTTGGGTATGTCTTGTTCAGAAGGCATTTGGGATCACATTTTTATCAAGAGTTCTGATATTTCCCATAAGTTAATCTTGATGTGAAATTTTTGGTTCACAGTGCTATGTACTTGGTGTACTCTTACTATGAACACTCCATTCTCCAGTTCTAGAGAAGCATAATACCATATTTCATCAGAAAAATCCTCCCCCTAATTTCCCTCTTCTCTTTTTGAAGGATTCCTCTTAATTGAGTCTTTGATTTCCTGAGATGATCCTTCAATATTCTTATCTTTGTTTCCTCTTATTTCTCATCCCTGTCTTTTCAATCTATTTCCTGGGAGATTTTCACAATTTTATTACTGTTTCTATTTTTTTTCTGCTGTCATATTTTTATCATCTAGGAGTTTTTTTCCTCTGACATCTTATTTACAGCTGAGCCAGTAAAAAAGACACATAGTCTCTGTATAAGTGGCTTGTGCTTACAAACTAGCATCTACCCTTTAGAGGAACTGTGTAGAGAACAAGTTATTTTGCTGGAGGAAGTCAAAGTTTTAAAATAGAATGTTTTTTCTTTTGGTCCAGTTAGCTTCAAAGCAGCATCTGCTAATCTGCTCAATTAAGGAAATTATGTCTGTCTATCAGCATTTATTTCACAAACTTTCACTTAAGTCCCTGTTTCTGTTTCCAGTAAATCATCTTGGTTCCAGTTTGTACAGGCCCAAGCTCTCCAGAAAGAAACCTCTGAGAGAGAACCTCTGAAGAATTTTAAATGTGAACCCCAAGGCCTTGAGAGACAGACGTGGAGCAGGTGGGGCCAGGGGGAATGAAAGAGAGAGAGAGTGAGAGAGACAGAAATCTCATCCACTGGTTCACTGCCCAAACACCCACACAGACAGGGCCGGGCCGGGCCAGAACTCAGTCTGAGCCTCTGCTGTGTGTGGCAGGGACCCAATTACTTGAGCCATCACTTGCTCTTTCCTTGGGGGTGCATTTGTGGGAAGCTGGAATGGAGAGCAGAGCCAGGACTCAAACCCAGGTGCTCTGATGTAAGATGCAGGTGTCTCAAGTGGTAGCTTAACTACTGTGCCAAACAGCACAACCTACAACGACACTTTCTGGAAAGAGCAATGGATTGGGATTCACACATCAGGAATTTGAGTCCTAGCTCCTCTTAGCCTCGTTCTGAGGATCAAGTATTATAATATTCGAAGTACTCTGCCAAGTATAAATCATTTCATGAGCCTCAGGAGTTATTAATAGTAGTTGTGACATTTGGGCAGGTATTCAAAATGCTACTGAGAGCTGGTTTCTTTCCCCAGACTCCTCTTCTTGAAAGGAACAGTTAATTTAAAGGAATCAAGCAAAAATATTGACACGTCTAAATTTGCTGAGAACTGATGGGGTTTTAAACTTTCTCCTAAAATCCTGAAATTCTGGTTAATTTAGTCCTTTCACTAACCAAATGGCAAAGCAGCTTGGACATCTCAGTTTCTCTTGTAGAAGGACAGTGGCTCTGGCTTAAAACATGAGATTGCTTTTGGTCTTCGTGTGTTCAGCAAGCCAAGTCAGATTGGTTAGGTAAGAAAATGAATTCATCAGCAAATGAGGCTTGCTTTTTAATCCAGTGCATCCTTAAAAATAAATTTCTACAATATATAATCAAGGCGTATAGCTCAAATTCTGTCCGAAGATTACAACAAGGAAGGACAATGGATACATTTATTAATTATATTATTTCTATATATAATATGTTAATTAAGTGCATTTGGACAAATGAGCAATTGTTTTTTAAATTAGTTACTTCTACCCTGATTAATAAAGCTATGATTAGATTTTAAAAGTATTTTTGGACATTTCAAGCCTTACATTTTGCATTCTTTTTTGTTAAGAACAATATGTAAGTTGGAGTTTTCAATAAAAGCAAAATTCATAATTTAATTTCATTATACACTTGTACAAGGTAACTTGCTCACATAGTATACAACCAAATTCCACAAAAACAATTCTAGACTTCCAAGCAAAGCTGCTTGAGCAGCCCCTGCTCCATCCTTTGTGGACTGCCTGTGAAGGAAGAAGCCTTGCTTTGCTTCAGCTATGGACTTATAAATACCTTTGCTTCAATGATTTTCTGTACAAACACTAATTTATTCTCAAGTTCCACTGGAAATTGTTTTTGCACAGTTTAGTAGTCAATACTGCTAAGTTTGACCAGGAAAGTGGCTGCTTATTACCCAAATTCATCTTGTGCAGTTATGGTAGCCAATACCCACTTATAGCTATTGAATACTTGAGAAGTAGCTAGTGCCACTGAGGAACTAAATTGTTAGTTTTAATGAATTTAAATTACATAGGTGTATGTAGCTGTACTGGGTATCACAGTTCTGTAGCATTACAATTGATGCATGCATGAGAAACTTCTTGAAGGGCTCACTTTCTAACAGAATAGCTGGTTATCTAAGATGTATTATTGGTACCATATATAGACAAGGCTTAGTGCCCAGAAGGACGCAAGGAACCCATGTAATAACTTATATACTTACAGGCTGGAAAACATTGTTCCAGAGTAAACGGTAGTAAAGAGAAAAATTTATTATAAGTATAGAAATACACATAACCAGTTAAGAAGCACTAATTGATGAAAGACCACCAATTTTGGGCATCAGTATATTTTGCGTGTATACTAAAGTATATGAAGTATATGACTCCTTCTCCTTTCAATCTGCTGACTAATGTTTGGGATCAGTTCTTAGATTCCTACTACTTAGAATTTTTTTTTAAAAGAAACTAAATTTACTTTCTTTTTAGTGCTTCTTAAAAACTTTGAAATTTAAAAAATAGACTCTCAGTGGTTTGCACTGGAAATCATCTCCAATAGTCCAACTTCTTGTTATTAGTTCAAAATCTCTTGATAGAAAAATAATATCCTCACACAGTCATTAGATGCAAACAAATATCCTTCATGATATAACTGAGCCACATTCTCTCCCCCTTATCCTAGCTCAGTTTCTGCTACAGGTACCGCATAGAACAATCACACATAAAGACTAAAGATTTTGTTTTTAACCAACTCACTCACTACTCAACCTGTAATTTAAATTGAAATAGTGTGCTTGCTACTACAGCATGAAGACAAGTCCTCTCGCATCTTGAGTCACCACCCAAACCACTCAAGTTTAAAAGTTTTGCAGTTTCAAGTGCCTGGCAAGAGAGGAAGAAACTTTAGGTCGTAGAAATACTTTGTCCATAATTAAATGCCAATTCCACATTATGGATCACAAAATACATTTTGTAAATCTTAACATGTTTCAGGATGGTCCTACACCCAAAAGATTTGGATGGCAAAAAAGAGCAGCATCCCTTTGTCCTGAAGCAAATTCTGAGTTACTGGAAAGAAAATAAAATGCTCAGCAGTGACTATATATTATGAGCTAACTTCAAATCATATGTTCATTGCTTCATATTCTCAAACATAGATGCATTCCATAATCCCACTAGTTCTTAAAATAGAATAACTATTCCAAGTTATTGCTGTAGGTAGCATTAAAGCATTTCCACAGGTACCAAACCTTGACATGCTAAATAAATATGCTGTTCTTCAGAACAGTGGCATATGTCTGCCTGGAGAAAGTAATTGTAATGCAGGAAACAGTGTTGTGTTCTGCTCTATCACTTAATGATCAATTATGTTTCACCAAGCAATTCATAAGACATAGCAGGTCATTCCAGAAGCAACACAACTGCTAACCTCTGCATGGCCTGGCTGGTATAGTTAATTAATATGAACAATGCATGGACCATTTCCTGAAAAAAAAAATAGCTTTCTGTTTGGGAAAGGAGGTGCATCTGATCAAATTCAAGATTTTACTTTAAGTTCTGACTTCATTTTTTTTTTAAAGAACAAAAACAGTAGCTCTACCAAGCAATGAAGCACAGAGTTTGGAAAATGACCCAATAAGCACTTATGGAGACAGATGTTGCCATCTATCTAATGCACTGACATTTACCTGAATGAGGTTGGCAGCTGGGTTCCTTCTTTTCTCAAAGTGTTTCTGGCGATGCTGTTCCTGTACTTTTAATGCAAAACCTGAGCCAAGAATGCCCTGGAACAAAATATAAAAATAGTACTTAAAAAATTTCAAAAGCACTGTTAAATAATACAAATATTTTAAAAAACTTTTAAAATAAGCCTGACAGAAGACAAACAGTATATAACCTGTCCATAAACATGTTCTTATTAAAACAAACACTATTTATTTCTATTATAATACCATCAGCCATAGGCAAGTTGTTGGGCAAGCTGCTAAGAGATACAGCAACTTCTGCTCTTTAGTAATTCAATTAGGCATCCTCATTTATTGTCTTCTGTGGTACAGTCAGAGCCACCAAATTATAAATTAAAAACTACATGTGGCCTTCTCCATGACATTGCTTCATGCCTAAGTTATAGCAATGGTCTTATCCAGTGATAGAATTTAGAGGATATGAATTGAGGTTTTGGAGAGAGCTGAGTATTAAATCTGGAAGAGTTAAATTCTCACTGATGTGGACACGGAGTATGTTTTGTATTTTGATGAAACTCTGAAATTGCATACTCTTCATCCATGAAATGAAGGAGACAGCTTAAAAGAGCTGTCCCAGCTCTAGTCCTTCCTGATGCTATAATTCTATATCAGCCAAAATAAAGTGAAGAGAGAAGAGTTACCCAGACGAGACTAACAAACACTCAGTCTTGAACAGATGCAAGATTTTCATCTTTCCTGACTGTACAAGAGACAAGATCATGGGTCACTGCAAAGCATAACCTGATCTTCCTCAGTTTTACTCTCACATAGCAGTATTCTTTGCTTTCTTAGATTTGGCTCACCTATTCCAATTTTGGGGTTAGTAAGATTAGTATCCCTCTATGTTTACATTATTTTATTATAATTATTCTAGTCAGTTTTGGTGTCCTTATGCTCATCATTTTGATCCTTCACAATTCTGGTTCTTTGATGTTTCCCCTCTTTTCAGTTTGCTTTGGTCTAACAATTGTGAGACCAAGTTGCCTTGTCTCAGTCTTGGCATGGCTTTCAGAGTTTGCTAAATTCAGCCTCTGTGCTTTGCATCCAACTCTCACATTTATTAGAATGTACTTGTACTTTCACTGCTTCCAAGCAAATGGATTATACTTGCTAGCAATAAATGATTAGCTTTTTATTAAACTTCAAGGAGTCTAACCCCTAGGTTAGAGATGGGCATCTTATAAGCATTTAGTCAGTATTTGCCACAGGTAAGTAATGGTTGCTTTTCTTTTCCTCATACTTTTAAACTAGCTCAAAGATGGCATTGGCTGCCTGGAGAGGTAGTAGATTTTTCACCTCTAGGAGGTGTTAAGTCTCAGCTGGATGACAACTTGGCTGAGATATTTTTGGCCCCTAGATAGCCTTTAACCTTCCTTCTGATCTTGAGATTTCACAATTCTGAGTACATCTTTGACAATAACCAGGCAATAAGTAATGCAACCATGTTAAAATATACAGTTATACAATAATACTATCTGCTATTAATATGCGATGATCTGCTCCATTATTAATTAGGATAAATGACTGAAGTATGAAATCAGAAATTACATCATAGGTTCTGTTTTTCATCTCTTTTTCAGTGACTGTCTCATGCTCTCCAAAGTCTCCATCTCATGTAGGTTGTGACTGCACAAATTGAGCTTTAGAAAGATTGTTTTCTATGGGCTGGTTTATAGATTCAAATAACATTTTCCTCCACATAGAGATTATACAAATGACCCTCTGTTTTTAAGCCTTAACTTTTTCTTATTTAGGAAAAAGATTGATTTTCCTTTTAATGTAATTTTTCTTTGAAGTATTAACATGTAAGAGAATAGAAAGCATTCAAATTTACAGCATATATTTACATTGTATATTACATGTGCATAAATTATATTCATATATACAATCCACTCATATGTAGCATAGTTTATATCCTGTAGATACTGAATTAACAATAACATCTACCATTTTTGAACACTTACTACACGGAGATGAGGTTCAGGGTGAAATCCTTTTTGGAAAATGAAGACAGGCCCTACACAGCACTGATTTAGCATCTGCCAAACAAACTAAAATGTGCTGAAAATCACGCTGGCATTGCTTAGAAACATATATTAGTAGATGGCAAATGTTTGCTACATATCTCTTGCGCCAGACTGTACATTATAGCAGTTATTAAACAAGGCCTGCTCACTGTCTCATTATGGCTCCATTCCAACTTTCCTCCACCCCTCTCTTAGCACACAGCTTAGTACACTTAAATAGAAGTCTGTTAAAGCCTATTATGATACATACACATGTACAACATGGCTTGGTCTTTGAACATATGTGCCAGCCCTTCAAATATTGACACCAAGAGTCGCAAATTCTTAGCAGCTGAATTTTTTCATTAATTTTCTATGATAATGATATTTAAATTTTTGAGTTTTAAGTTTTAATACTGTGCTCAGAAGTGCTACATAAACAGCAAGTTTAAAAAAAAAGTTTTGGTAAACATTTAAAATGTTTCCTCTCAATATCAACCAGGTTAAATGAACCTAAGTTGTACCCCTCACATGGTAAACAGTTGTTAATATTTTGGGGCTGCTTTTCTCTGCCATAGGGGGAGTGACTCCCCTCTGGAGCAAGGGAAGGTATGACTCCGTGATGCGTGGGGGAGTCCCTCTGCTTTGAGAATAAGATGGGGAAATGCTGTTTCTTTCCTTGGTCCTCAGGTTTGCTGAGTGAGAGGAAACTCAAACAGAAGAGACCCAACTTTTCCAGCAAAATGCCAGTATGGTCCCTTGAGTTTCAATCAGATAACAGCGTTAGCTTGCAGATCCATAGGACAGAATGATATTTCTAGCCACCTTTCTCTTTCAGGTATAAAGTTTCTCAAGGAAACTTTTTATTTAAGGAGTATAAATTTCATAATACAACTTTAGGTATATAGTGATTCTTCCTACCACACTCGCCCTCCCACTCCCACCCCCACTTCCACTTCCAATGGGAATGGGAGTGACCCTCTCACATTCTCATTCTCCATTAAAATTCATTTCAATCAACTTTATACACAGAAGACCAACTCTATACTAAGTAAACATTTCAACAACTTGCACACAAACACACAAACTGTTTGAAAACAAGTTTTACAGTTAATTCTCATAATATAACTATTTAGGACAGAGGTTCTGCATGGGAAGTAAGTGCACAGTAACTCCTGTTGTTAATTTAACAATTAACACTCTCATGTATGATGTCAGTGATAACCCAAGGCTTTTGACATGAGCTGCCAAGGCCAGGGAAGCCTTTTTTTTACGAAAACTTTTATTAATAAATATAAATTTCATAGGTATAGCTTTTGGAATATAGTGGTTCTTCCCCCATACCTGCCCTTCCACCCCCCCATCCTACCTCCTACTCCCTCTCCCATCCATTCTTCATTGAGATTCATTTCCAATTATCTTTATATACAGAAGACCAACTCTATACTAAGTAAAGATTTCAACAGTTTGCACCCCCACAGACACACAAAGTATAAAGTACTGTTTGAAGACAAATTTTACCTTGAATTCTCATAGTACAACTCGTTAAGGACAGAGGTCCTACATGGGAGCAAGTGCACAGTGACTCCTGTTGTTAACTGATACTCTTATTTATGTCAGTGATCACCAGAGGCTGCCAAGGCTATGGAAGCCTTTTGAGTCCACAAACTCTGCCAGGATTTAGACAGTGCCACAATCAAAGTGGAATTTCTCTCCTCCCTTCAAAGAAAGGTACCTCCTTCTTTGATGCCCCCTTCTTTCCACTGGGGTCTCACTCACAGAGATCTTTCATGTAGGCCATTTTTTGCCACAGTGTCTTGGCTTTCTATGCCTGAGAAACTCTCATGGGCTTTTTAGCCAGGTCCGAATGCCTTAAGGGCAGATTCTGAGGCCAGAGTGCTGTTTAGGGTGCTTGTCATTCTATAAGCCTGCTGTGTGGCCTGTATGGAAGCCTTATGAATCCACAAACTCCTTCAGTATTTAAACAAAGCCATAAGCAAAGTGGAAGTTCTCTCCTCCCTTCAGAGAAAAGTACATCCTTCTTTGATGGCCACTTCTTTCCACTGGGGTCTCACTTACAGAGATCATTCATATAGAACATTTTTTTGCCAGTGTCTTGGCTTTCCATGCCTGAAATGCTGTCAGGGGCTACAGCCAGACCAGCATGCCTTTAGGGCTGATTCTGAGGTCAGAGTGCTATTTAAAGTGATTGTCATTCTATGAGTCTGCTGTGTGGACTGCTTCCCATGTTGGAACATTCTCTCCTTTTTAATTCTATCTATTATTATTACCAGACACTTGATCTTATTTATATGATCCCTTTAACACTTGATATAGGACTTAGCACTATGTGTGTGGATGCATTAAACAGAGCTGTAGTAGAGGTTGCTTTTCTTGGAATTGTTAGGAAATGTTCTAGTCTTTTCAAGCAGTTTAAAAAATATTCTCAACATATGTTTACTGAATTCTCATTGAAAATTTTAATTATTTTATTGAAAAGATTTCCAAGAATTACTACTTAAGCTTTGAGTTTCAGCTTAATGTAGCAACAGAGTTTAATCTCCCTGTTATGGTTTAGGGTTTCATTATGTGGACTGGGTACTTTGCTGTGCTAGATATAGCCAGCTTCCAGAAGTAGGCTGAACCATTATGCTAATTGGCCCCAGGTCTTTATACCTTTTAAACACTTATGTCTGCTTGTTTCTTACATATTTTCTTTTCCTTCCCTTGCTATCAGGCTTTCACCATCTCTTCCCATTGGTTTGTTCTATCAGCCTGTTGCTTATAATTTTCAAAGAATTGTGAAACTGCGGAGTCAGCCAATCAGAATTTTCTCTGCTAATGAGACTAATTAATTAGGTCTCATGAGGCCCTCCTCTGGAGCAGCACATATATCATTGTCTATTTTAATAATCCAGGGTTGCCTATTTTCTTGTTCATAGTTATTCACTAAATCATAGGGGTTGTGATATATGTGCCAACATGGGAAGTGGAATACACAGCAGACTCATAGAATGGCAGGTGTCCTAAACAGCACTCTGGCCTCAGAATCAGCCCTTAAGGCATTTGGATATGGCTGAAGAGCCCATGAGAGTATTTTAGGCATGGAAAGCCAAGACACTCTGGGAAAAAAAAAAGAGGACCTAAATGAAAGAGCTCTGCGAGTGAGATCCCAGTGGAAAGAACAGGTCATCAAAGAAGGAGGTACCTTTCTCTGAAGTGAGGAGAGAACTTCCACTTTGACTACGACCTTGTCTAAATATGATCAGAGTCAGTGAACTCAAAAGGCTTCCATAGCCTTGGCAACTCATGAAAAGAGCCTAGGGTGATTACTGATGCCATAAACAAGAGTGTCAATTTGTTAAATCAACAACAGGAGTCACTGTGCACTTACTCCTCATGTAGGATCTCTGTCCTTAATGTGTTGGTCAATGTGAATTAATGCTATAACTAGTACTCAAACAGTATTTTTCACTTTATGTTTCTGTGTGGGAGCAAACTGTTGAAATCTTTACTTAATATATGCTAAACTGATCTTCTGTATATAAAGAGAATCGAAAATGAATCTTGATGTGAATGGAAGGGGAGAGGGAGCTGGAGATGGGAGGGTTGCGGGTGGGAGGGAAGTTATGGGGGGGCAGAAAGCCATTGTAATCCATAAGCTGTACTTTGGAAATTTATATTTATTAAATAAAAGTTAAAAAAAGAAAAAAAAGGATAAATATAATCATAAATGTAGCAGGTACTGTGTGACATCATTTCAGGATTAAAAACCCAGAAGTTTTTATCCCAAGACAATATTCTACTCTTTCTCTTTTTAAGCTTTTTAAAAAATTTACTTGAGAGGTAGAGTTTCAGACAGAGAGAGGGAAAGACAGAGAAAGGTCTTCCATCTGCTGGTTCATTCTCCAAGTGGCCATAATGGCCAGAGGTGTGCTGATCTGAAGCCAGGAGCCAGCAGCTTCTTCTGGGTCTCCTGCAGGTGCAGGGCCCAAGCACTTGGGCCATCTTCCACTGGTTTCCCAGGCCATAGCAGAGAGCTGGATTGGATGATGAACAGCTGGGACATGAACCGGTGCCCACACGGGATCCTGGCACTGCAGGTGAAGGCTTAACTTAATCCCTCTCAGTACCAGCCTGGTATTTTACTCTTTCTAAAGGTATTTTCCTGCAGGGAATCTGATTATTGACTGAGTCTCTATTCTGTCCTGGGATGTTGAGATTGCCAGATGGACTTTGGAAATTGAAATGTTGAAGTGTTTCTCATCTTCTTGATTGTGTCATTTTTATACCAGGAAACATGTATTTCTGCATTCATATAAGAAATGGCAAGTCACATTTATTGAGATATTGCTTCATATTAAGCACTTGACTTACATCCTCACATTGGCCTTCACAAAATTTTCTGGGATTAATCATTTTTCCTCCAAGGAATATACTCCAGATCACTGAGCAGAATGGTGTACCCCCAAGCTTCATATGTGGAGTTCTAATCCCCAATACATCAGGATGTAACCTTATTTAAATGTGGGGGCCTTATATGTGTAATCAGTTTAAAATGAGGTTACAGAGGCAGGCCTTAGTCCAGAGTTGAGGAACCTTTTATCTGCCAAGGACTTTTTGGATTATTTATAACATCATTTGCAGGCTATACAAAATTATCCACTTAAACTTTAGCCTGCTATAGCTTTTTGAATTTTGAGTCCCACCTGCAGTTGCCTTGGCAGGGCCAGACCAAGTGATTCCACAGGCTTTAGATGGCCCACAGGCCAGACATTCCCAACTCCTGCTAACCCAAAATGGCTGCTGTTCTTACAATAGGAGGAAATTAGGACATAGATGATCTGAAGATACAGGAGGAAGTGGCCTGGGCAGATCCTTCTCTCCTGGCCCTCAGAATGAACAAATCCTGCCAATACCTTGATTTTGGGTTTCCTGCCTCTAGAACTGAAGCAACACATTTCTGTTGTTTAAGCCACACAGTCTGTGGTACCTTGTTACAGTGGCCCTAGTGACGAATTCAGAAACACAGTGAACAACCATACCAGAATCCACCTGTGGGCTAATGCCTAAGCCTAGACATGCTTTTTAAACTCTCTTTTCATGATTTTGAGTGCTCTAGAGCAGAACCAGCTGATCTGTCTGGAGTTGGGCATTGACCATGGAAAGAGTATCCTCTGCATTCATTCTTAGGCAGAGGAGGGGTCCTGGGAGCTAAGGGCCGTAGTGCTGAAAATCCCCACCTGACCCGCCTCCTCCAAAGCTTCCTTTGGAAGGGTGCTCTATGGTCTCTGCCTGGGAGAGATTGTGCCACAGCATTGGCTTGTGTCTGGAGCAAGACTGCGGCTACTTTTCTTTAGCTTGCCTGCTGTCACTACCTTGACATTCCTTTTTGTTGGCTCCCTCACCCCCATGGGCATGAGTGGAATGAACAAAACCTAGAGCTTGGGGTTGGTGGATAAGCAGTAATTCTTTGACCAACTACCTTTAAAGAAACAAGAGGGTAAAATGATCAGAGAGGCGAGTTTCATCCATTAAGTAGAAAATAATCACAAGCTCGGGGGAAGACAAATGTGATTTTCATTCTGATAAGATGAAGAAGTTGCTCATTAAGAAAAATCAATGATGATGACATAAGGAATAAATCATCTGACACACTTAGAACCCTTTAAGGTCACACATTTTTCACTCATCTGAAGAGGAAAATACCCCACTTGTGCACATCCATTTCTTCAGTAGCACACATTATGAACCAAATTGGAGCCATTAGTTTAAAAGGAAATATTTTTAAATCTTTACAAATATTTTAAATCTATTTGTAGCACACTGACTGACTGTTGATGCCATCAGAATTATAATTTGGCCACAAACATCTGGCTAATATTAAAGTCTCAAACTGTCTCCAAAGGAAGATCAGAATGTGTAAACTGTCCACCTAAACATATTTAGAACTGCCGATATTAGAAAAAGCATAATTTTAAATGATATTTTCCTAAGTATACCAATTTCTAAGAGCTGACTCCAGTGAGACCTAATTTAAGGTACTTTATTGTTGTAAAGATACTCACAGCAGGAAGTGCAAAGAAAGAAATGCCAAGGAGTGCGAAGCCTGCAGAAAGCAATCTTCCCAGCCAGGTTAGGGGAGTTTTGTCTCCATAGCCAATAGTTGTCAATGTAATCTAAAAACAAAATAAATAGAACATGCAGCTTAAGAATTTGGGAGGAAAGTTAGGACCTGTGAACAGAAGGCAAAGCAACATTTCCATTAAATCATTATTCAACAAGGCTCGTTGGCGCATTTTATTACTGTGCTTTAATTTTCCATGACGCATAACAGAACTTCTCTTTGTTTAAGGAAGGGAATAACCTACATACTTGTTCCTTCCTTATAACACAGTTTTCCATCTTTTCTAAGTGGATTCAGAGAAGCGTTATTTAAGAAAGTGGATAACTATTAGTGATACAGAAATGATAGTGCTGTGGATTTAGAACTGGAACTGTATACAAAACAACAGTTTATGTTCATTAATCCTGCCCATTTATTATCTTGGGAGGCATTTCCTGAGGTCTGCTGTGGGCAAGGCAATGTTATGATTTGCAGATGAACAAAAAATGAGGAGTATATAGTTCTTGTTCTAAGACACTGATGGCACTGTAAGGGAGACATGTCACATGCAAACAATTGAAACATTAATTAGGGTCAGGCAGGGATTATGACGAAGACACTAGTAACCAAAATGAGAACTCAAGGAACAGACTGGTTATTACCAGTTTGAGGGGTCAAGTAGGCTTAACTAGGGAGTCATCATCATACCTAGGCTTTGAAGTGACATTTTGAGGCAGAAATGATAGAGAGGGGGCTTGGAGGCAGGGAAACAGGTGGTGAGTGCATAGAAGTGAGAACAAATAAGGGACGGTTATGGAAAGTCAGAGTTGTGCAGCTCAGCTGAAGCATGGTGGATTGGAATAGGATTAATGGCTTCTTCAATTTCTTTCATTGACATTTGACAGCATTCATTGTATAGGTCCTTGGTTAAATTTATTCCTAAGTATTTTATCTTTGGTAGCTATCACAAACAAAATTTTCTCTTGATTTCTTTTAAAGCTTGTTGTGAGTGTACAGAAACACTACGGATTTTTGTGTTTGATTTTGTATCCTGCAGCTTTGCTGTATGTATTAGTTTTAAGGGTTTCTTGGGGGGTCTCTTTAATGTTTTATATATAGAAGCTCATATCTTTAGCAAACAGCAACAATTTTACTTCTTCCTTTCTTATTTGGATGCTTTTTCTTTATTTCTCTTGTTTCAATGCTCTGGCAAGGACTTTTAGTACTATGTTGAATGCAAGTGGCAAGTGTAGGCACCTTTTTTTTTTTTGTTCTGGATCTCAGAGGAAAGGGTATTAAGGTTTTACTGTTGAGCATAATGTTAGCTGTAGGATTATCATATATAGCCTTTATTGTGTTGAGGTACATTTCTTCTATGCCTAAATTGTTAAGAGTTTTTATTATGAAAGGATCTGAATTTTGTCAAATACCTTTTCTGCACCCAATTGAGATGATCTTAAATAAGCCTAGCATAGAATGACAAATAATACATGTTTTCACTTACAAGTGGAATTAAAACAAACTCAGAAGCGAGAGTGGAATTTCTGTGGTAACTAGAGGCTAGAAGCTGTGGGATGGGGTGGGGGAGGAGGAAGATGCTCAAAGTGTTCAAAGTTTGTTAAATCAGAAGATGGAGGTGTATTTTTGGATATATATTGTAGAGTATGGCAAGTGTGTTAATAATATTGTATTGTACATTTAAAATTGCCAAGAGAGATAAACTTTAAATGTTCTTACTACAAAAAAGTCATAAGTATTTGAGGGGTTGAAGATATTAATTTGCTTGATTTAAATATTCCACAATGTATTCATAAATCATAACTTGTACTCTATAAAATAAACACACTATAATTTGTCAATTTATAAGAAAAAAGAATTGAAAGGTTTAGTGGAAGAGGAAGTTAATTAGTTTACCTAAAGCAAGGCAGGGAGTTTCTGAAAATGACAACCCTGTCATGTCTCTCCCTTGGGCAAACTGCTCCAGGGCTTCCCACATGCCTTAGAACAAAGTCCCAGCTCCTCCTATGGACCTCTGGGGCTCTGCATGATTGGGCCTTTTTCAGACATGATCTTCCGCTGCTTTCCATCTCATTCTGCTTCCACCACACTTGCCTTGCTGCTCAACACAGCAAGTTCTCTCTTGCTTCAGGGTCTTTGTGTTTGCTGCTCTCTTTCTGGATTTCCCTTACTCCTAGCCCTCCATTCAGGTACCTGTTCAACTGTCAGCTCCATACAAAGACCATCCTTTCATACCTTATATAAGATAGTCCCCTGCCAATTGTTCTCTGAGTCCTTATTCTGCTCATTTTTTAAATGGAAGATACAAGGTGAATTGCAATAGGGAGAAATGAGATGAGTAGAGATTGTATGACAATGGAGAATAACAGGTTAGGAAGTTCAACAGGAGAATCATACTAATTCCTCCTTTCTTCACCTTTTCAGTACGTTCCATTGGTTCTACTTCTAAAGATATTGAAAATTCATCCCCTTATTTCCATTTTCACTGCTACCATGGTATAATCATTGCTCCACTAGCCTCTTGATTGCTCCCTCTGCTGTTGTTTTTGCCTTCCTAGCTTAGTTGCTTCTGCACACCTTTTAAAAAAATATTTTATTTATTTATTTGACAGGTAGAGTTATAGACACAGAGAGAGAAAGACAGAGAGAAAGGTCTTCCATTCACTGGTTTACTCCTCAAATGGCTGCAATGGCTGGACCTGAGCTGATGCAAAGCCAAGATCCAGGAGTTTCTTCCAGGTCTCCCATGTAGGTGCAGGAGAACCGAATAACCAACAACTCAACCCTTCACCTCAACAACCCCCTTCACTCTGATGTCAAATGAGCTTAGTATGTTTTTTTGGTTATAAGTTCAGGGTCTTTTGCTGCCAGGCTAGGCTTGGGAAGGATCTGACAGTAGGGAACAGATTTGTCCCTGACTCCTTTCAGGGAGGGAGGTGGTGGCAGTTTCCTTTATGTCTTTCCTGCAGAGTGCATCACGATGTGAACAGAGAAGTAGCACTAGCTGTAAAATGATATAGTCTCTAAGGACACTTAGAATGAAATGACGTGTGTCTTCATTTAGTTCCAAAGTCGAAGGTGGTAAGCCCACACGGAACCCCACACACCAGCTGTCCAGGACACCTGGGGAGATCCAGGAACAGCTGCCTGTCTCAGAGAACCTTGAGAGGCTGCACTTGTGATCTGCAGGGGCATGGAGGAAATCACACCTGGATTTTACAGCTGACTGGCTGATGGGACAGTCACTTGAGTTTCTGGAGAAACTTTTCACAGATTTCTAAGATTCTAGCAGCATCCTGATATGTTGGCATAGCAAGATGACTTATTCTATTGGATATCATCTCTCTAATGCAGATGCCCCCACACTAAGTGCCTCAGTGACTCTCAGAAAGGACAGCTGGTGATTATTGATGATAGTATGCAGTTAACTTAGTGATGTGGGCTGCATGAACTTAAAGTCAGCATTGATTCTGGAAAAACTAAATCTAGTAATGGAGTATTGTTATAATAAACAAAAAGTAAGTAATGTACCTCCCTTGAAACACCAGTCTCCTTTGACTGGTTATCCAACATTAGACACATAATATAGTTCCTCGTTTGAAGATCTCTATCACCCTCTTTGTGTAATTCCTTGTCAGTTCTGCGTATGTATATGGAATTAGGATGCAAAGGCTGAACACAGTGGGTAATTGTGCAATTGTGCTGGAATCATGTCCATTGACTCTGTTCACTTGGTGAGCCAACTTGGTGAGCCATAAGCATGCTTCATGACTGCATATGGGCTGGGTGGAGGTTGATGACAGGGGTTGGGTGGGTTCATGATGATTAAACGTGGCTGGTTATTGCATTCTTCTTGTGCTACTACAAGAACTTTTAATATTTCCCAAGTCAAAGTATTTTCATTGAACACAGACATTTACTTTTTTTTTTTTTGAGATTTAAAAGCAATATTTATTACAGTCAAAGACCTCCAGCCAGAGTGGCATGGAGAGAGGCTCCAAGAAAGGCAAAACCCAAAGGGGCCAGTGGTACTGGGGTTTTTAAGCACAATTTTGGGGAAGAAAAAAACTTGACACTCAGTTACAAGGTGGGGACAAAACCCATCAAAAGACCTGATTTGCAATCTTTTATCCTATCTGGCTCACTCACCATAAAACAAAAAGAGCCATCAGAAGGGTGGGATACCTAAGTTACTTTACAATAAACTGGGTGCTCAGAAGGAATCACCACTCCCTTGCTATTCTCATAATAAGACTGGATGCTTTCAAGGGGTGGACAGAGAAGCATTTTTGACCTTGCTGATGATTTGCACCCTCAATTTCCACTGGGACCATCCTGAACTGCCTATTAACCCATCTGACTCCTCACCTTCTCCCCCAGAATAATGGCCCCTAACTTCTGTTAGGAGAACTGGGTGATGACCACTCTGGCTGTTTCATGCTGGAAAGGGGCATCATTGGGAATGGTAGTCAAGACAGGATTCCAGCAGGAGGTGGCTTCTTGAGGGGGACAAGTGCCAGCTTGCAGAAACTGCTTCTATCTGAGGTTTCATGTGTATGGCCATCTAGAATTTCACTGTTTTAAGTCTGGAGAAAACAAATCTAACAAGCAGTTCAAACTCACAGGGTCTAAAACAAAGGACAGAGCTATTATTAGAGGACCTAAAAAAACGATGATGTCTAAACCATGAGCAAGTTTTCTCACTGAGAGGCAAAAGAAACCGACAGGAGGGACCTGATAACAATCAGGGGGGCTAAGGCCTCACCAGGTATATGTGAGATCCAGACCTATCTCTTCACAAGAGGTAGTGGAAGAGACATTGGTAGCTTTGGGATCCTCAAGGAGAGAAGGCCTACACTTCCAGGAATGGAGAGTCCCTACCTGCACTTCCGGGAATGAAAAGTCCTTGTCAAGGTTCCCACGGGTGCCTAAAGGTTAACCAATGAGGATCAGACCTGCCTCAACTGTTAACCCCCACGCCCTCCTATAAAAGGAGCCCTCCCAACCCCTAACGCGTGACTTCCCTGGCCCCTGCTCTGTTGGGACCAGTGAACC